CATGTTCGCGTTCGCCTCCGAACGCGAACACGGTGATTCGTAACTTTTATGTGCTTCTTTTTTAAAGTTTTTTCCGTACTTACAACCGCACGAGCAGCACATTCGTGCGGAGTTCTGTACGGAGTTCCGTGCGGGGGGTGCCTGTGCGGAATCGTGCAGGTTTTTTATTTTTATTATTATTATTTTATGTTTTTTTGGGAGGGGGAACGGGGGGGCGTATGACAGGAAGATGGGGATATGGCAAGGAGAGGGGGATATGGAGAGGAGGAGGAGGATGTGGATGAGGAGGACGACGAGGATAGTGAGGACAACGAGGAGGAGGAGTGGAGATGGGGGAGGAGAAGAGATGGACGGAGGGAAAAGAGGAAGGGCAGGAGGAGGAGGACGAGTGGGAGGAGAAGACATGGACGGCGAGGAAGGGGAGGACACGAGGAAGGGAAGGAGACGAGGAGGCATGGAAGATGAGGAAGTACGAGGAGGAGGAGAAGACAAGAAGGATGAGGAAGGGCAGGAGGAGGAGGACAAACAGGAGGAGGAGGAGGAGGAGGAGGAGGAGGAGACGAAAAGGAGAAGGGAGGAGGAGACATGGAGGATGAGGAAAGGGAGGAGGAGCAAGGTGAGGCAGTACTCCTGTAATTTTTTTTTTCATCTCGCTTATAATTTTGGCAGGGGGCCTCAAACGCACCGTTTCAACCCCGGCCTTTTATTTTTTTCCTGAGGGGGGTGACGGGTCGTTCTCCGCACACGTGTGCGCCGCACGGGATCGGTTGGGCACGTGCGCCGCACGTAGGGAACCGCCCGCATGACGTGCGCTTTCATGTATGGTTTTTTCCCTTTGCTTTCCCCCGTTACACTAGTTTTTGGGCACTCTGTAGTTTCATACTGTACTTGGTCACGAGACCTTAGGTTCCTGGGTACAGAACGGTCACAAAGGTCATCAGAAATATGATCCAAATATCAGCTTCTTAAGTTCTTAGCACACCTCCCAAAACATCCTCTATGCTCCGTTTTCCTTTGCAGTGAAGAACACAAAGCACAGAGACAAAAATGATCCAATTAAGGATCTCATTGATCAGCCTGAGACCTAAAAGCTACATCGCACGGAAATGGAGCCCTCTTCTTTTGAAATGTCGATTTAAATACTGCTCAGTCGATTGATTATCGCTCAGAGCATCAAATTGCGAGGATCAGGGTCCTCGGTAGGCCTATGGGGCCCTGTTTGCAGCCTTACCCGCCCTAAGTGAAGGCGGAGGTGCCCGCCCTAAGCGAAGGCGGGCCTGGCTTTTTTGCAAGAGGCCCTCGACTGTCAATTTCATATTTGGGGTCCAGGCAGTTGCGACGCGCCAGTTGGTTGAGAGAAACACAGGCCGAGCAACAAAGACATTTCCACAGCCCTCCGGGCCTTTCCAAAGAATGCAGGCCCTGGGCATGATTCGCAGCCTCATACAGAGACAGTTGGGCGCCCAACCAAACGAGGCCCATCAGCCCAGTAGCTGCTGTACACAGGCAGCCTCCTGGGGCCTTCCGGAAGCTTCTGGGCCCAGGCCAGTGCAGCCAGGCTGCGAGAGCAGGCCAACTCTTTCCATAAAGGAAAGAGCTCGGCCCTGGCTGCCTCATTCGGTCACTTGCTGGCTGGCAGCAGCGCTGCTGGAGCGATTGCTCGCGTGCTGGCTGCCGGCATTGGAGCAAGAGGCTGCGCACGTGCGGTCGTGTGGGAGACCAGGGCGCTGCTGAGGGCAGCGCCATAGCCAGCCTCCATAGCGGGCTCGGCTTGGATACACAGTGAGGCGCAGGGGTGGTCTTCGGGTGAAAGAGAGGACAGGTGTGGGTGTAGTCAGGGGATAGGTAAGGATGATGATGATGATGATGATGATGTGAGGGCACATACCTTGTATTGGCGATGGTCTGCATGGGCGACATCTTCAAGTACTTCGGGCTGCTGCTGATGTCAACAGTTGCATTGTCTTTTTGTAGTCTGTAGTAGCTGTGTAGGAGTASGCTGGGCRCYGAGCGCCAAGTGTGAGTGTGAAGGAACTGGACTCTTGTGTTGAGAGGAGAGAGTATGCTCTCCATGGACATTGGTTTTCAGTGCTACGAACCTCCATTGGTGTATTATTGGTGCAATGCTGCTCTCTGGACGGTGTGACTATTTGGCTTGCAATGTGATGGTGTGATCTGGAATTGTCATCTCGCTGTTGCTTATTTTCCTTGCAAAATGCACAACAGTGGAGTTATTTTGCATTTTTCGATATTTCGTAGTTTTCTTTCGACTTGAAGGCCTGTCGCGCCACAGTCAATGGCCTGAGTCCCTGTCCTGAAGTCCCAATGGTCTCAGTCCCCCGGAAGTATTGATTTGGCAGGCCCGGCAGCCGAAGTGCCATACTTATGTCATGTAGGTCGGTACAGTCCAATAGGCTGACAGAAAGTTTTTGGGTCGTTAGAAGTCTGGTAGGCCCAGTACCCAACAAGAAAAGTCCAAGTCCCAGTCTAAATTTAGCAGCAGCATCCTGGGAATATTCGGTGGGTTCTGAAACTTTCAAAATTGCAGTCGACAGGCCTTGGGAGATCGTTACCAGTCCCGAGCCGACAAAGATCTCTACTCAGCTGCTATTTATAGAGCTGTAGTGCTCCGAAGGACTACTTATGAATCTGTGTGTTGCGGAAGCTCAGCTGAATGCTTGTGCGACCATATGGGTGGACTGCGCAGGGAGATTGAGGAAGAAGCCGGCATTTGGCCCCATAGCTAGAGCTCGCGGAGAGGAAGACCACCACCATAGCCACTACGGTAGAAGAGAGAGAGAGAGAGAGAGAGAGAGAGAGAGAGAGAGAGAGAGAGAGAGAGAGAGAGAGAGAGAGAGAGAGAGAGAGAGAGAGAGGAGCCTGTGCATTCAGAGAGTGACTCCGAGTGAGAACGAGAGAAAGATACAAGAGAGGAGAGAGAGAGAGTGTGTACATACCTGCAGGAGGATGACGGGCTGGCGGCCATAGCCACATGATGTACTTGGAACTTTGAAAAGTTAATGTTTAGGCAAGGAACTTTGAAAAGTTAATCTTTAGGAAATGATAATTAGAGGTTTTCAGCTGACATCCATCTCGTTTCCCTCCTGTTGAGTGCTTTTGTGTGAGCGTCGGTGTCATGCATTAATGCAATTGGAAATTTGGGATCGAATTTGAGTTGGTTCATTGCAGACTATCGCTCACACAAACGGTGCAGCAGAGCCATGCTTGACACTTATAGCCAGGCAGCTGGCTTGTGATCGAACCCAAAAACAACTAAAACGACATGATGTAACCTTTTCTGTCCCATCTGAGAGCCACTCGCCACTCCGGGCACATGGCTGTCGGAGACAGATGTGTGCCCCCTGCACCTCCTTGCCTCCCCCTGCTCTTCCTTTCCTTTCCCTCTTTATCAATTTCCTTTTGTTTAAGCCTCCCCTTCGAGAGCTTGCAACAAGCACACTCACTGACCACTGGCCACTGGCCACTGGCCTCACGATTTGAGCTTCTGTACAGCTCGTGAGGATTCTTGGAAGAGGTGGCATCAGACAGAACCGCAAGGCAGTGAGCCACTAAGAATGTCATGAAGGGTATGCAGCACGGTTAACACGGATGCAGAATTGAACAAGTTCAGGGAGGAAGCTGATCTTCCCACGTTTCTTGTTACGTCAAGGTCTATCTAGCAGGTTGCTATGGGGAGGCTGAGAGGAGTATTAGGGAAGGACAAGCTAGCAGTCAGTCATCCACTCCGCCTGGAGTCGTCAGCAGCCATCGCATACACCCACGAGTCCCGTCATGGTTTCCTGCAAGCCTTCTCCAAGCACCCACCCGAACCCAGCCAACAAGATGGTTGTCTGTCTTTTACCCTTAAGCATGAAACAATGGAATCCGAACACAACCGGTCACCTGGTCAGAGTATTATGTCAAGCCCGCGCACTCGCAATGAGACAACTTTGAATTTTGTTTCACACAGTAACTTTTTCTCTTACATGTTGACCAAAAGGAACAGAAAGGAAAGTGATGCAGCAAAGGGGTCAGGAAAGAAAAAGGATGGGAACCTGGAAGTGCAAATCTTTTTTTCTGGGCTGTAAAAGCCTGTAATGCAAAACGGATAAGAGAGAGAGTTCTCACCTGAACTACCTTTGCGTACCAATCGTCAAGGGTTTTACCCAAAATTGACTGGACAGACAAAGCTTTAACGTCACTTCCTCTTCCTTTCCCCGCATGCAAGGGGATCATAGGTACTTCATCACCTTGGCCACATCCCACAACAATAGTACTAAGTAAATTGCTGCAGCCGGAACCGCAGTGTCTACAGCCAACAGCACCAGGATAATCCAGTTCACTTCCAGCTTGGACCACTTTCCCTTCATGAATAGGAAAAAGCTTCGTTGCCCCAGTCGCCCTCATGTCACAGGTTCCTGCCGTACTCCCGCTCTGATCACCCACTCCACGACTCCTCTCCATACCTCTGCTTCTATCCAACTGTCTGCCCACTGAGGAGGACTGGTTTGCGCACAGCCTCTCTATTCCCCTTACAAGGCCCCCTGCTGCTCGAGCTATATCAAGATCACTGAATTGCTTTCTGACACCATCTCTGATGTAGTCCACTGGCGGCAACCTGTTGCTATTAACCATGATGTCCATATTTTGCTGTGGTCTTTTCCCAAACTGCCCTTTGGAATCTCCGACAACGTCTCGCAGAGCTATATGTGCTTTCTGTACCTGCATCACACATCAGAGAATGCAGATTGACTAAGAAGTTATCAGGATCATGCCACATGATACAGCTGCGAATTGTAAGGAGACACACCTTATGAAGCTTTTACGTAATTTCAAAAGGGTGCAGGGAATGCAAAAAAAAAAAAAAAAAAAAAAAAAACAGTAGGGTCAACATTGAGCCAAAGAAAAGCCATAAGTTGGCTTAACTGTTACACTATGTTCCTTCTTGGCATGTAATCCATATATTGTCACATAACTACAAACTAAAAGAGCGCACTTTGCGAAACAAAGAATAAAAACAAAAAACGGGCACATTGCAAAAATAAAAACAAAAACAAAAACAAAAAGCAAGGGCAGATTGAAACCATTAAATTTCTCATTCTTCTTTGAACTCCACCTCCACTGTGCCTCTCACGTGCAAGGCTCGCCACGTTGATGAAGTTGAGCGCGAGCTGCCCCCATCCCCGTATGCCATAATCGTATATATCGTCAAATAGAACTGCCCGGTAAACCGTAGGCAGAGAGGGAGAAGAGGACAACAAACGAGGGGCTGTGACAAACTGTTTCGTCGGAGTTTCACCGACTCATCAGGAGGCTCGTCACAAACAGA